CTTGTTTTCAACCATTTATGCTGTTTCAGTACAGTATAGACTAAGGATGGAGGAAAATGGGTCCTTAAACTATTCATTGAATCTTTAAACTTAAAAATCTCTTAAATTTCCTAATTTCCTGCCTTAATCAGCCTTTATCCAACAGGGCATAGAAGTTTTGACTTTTTGATCTGATAGAAAGCCTCTCACTTGCCACCTGCCAGCTACCACCTCTCTGACCTGGCCTCAGACCATCCTCAATTACGTGACCCCCTGCATCCATCGCCATCATCCACTCACCGATTTTGTCACTAATTTAACTCTTCCGCTGCCACTTAGTCGCTTTTCACTGTAACTAACTAAGTCCCAATCTGGCGGCGCTGCACGGGGCACACCTCCGCGAACTTGGCCAGGACCTAGCCCAATCCAATGCTATGTGCACCAATTGTGCCCAGCCGATACCAATACCAATACGAGGACAGGCTGGGCCAGGCCAACACCAATACTATTACAGAGCAGAACAAAATGGCAACAACAGCAACAAAACGTCCGAACGGGCAAAATCGCAGCTGAAAAAGGCCTCGAAAAACTGAAAACTGAAAACTGGCAGCGGTGGTGGCGACGGCGGTGGCGTTGAAAAATGTTCGCTTGGCATTTGCCGAAAAAGTTTTGTGCACACACAAAATGCACGACAAATGCCAAAAGCTTCTGCTTGTCGAATGCAGGACTCAAAGCCCAGCCAGGATTTCTAGTATTTGTGTCCGTCCCTGGACCTGTTTCTGGTCCTGCTTCTGGTGCTGGTACTGGTCGTCCTCCTCTTCCGGCTCCAGCTTCTCCATATCTGTCCTAGATGGTTCTTCAGTTCTTTTGTTTTAGTCAGGTCGAGCGCCATTTTCTACCAATTTTTACTTTTTAATTGACATTTGTTTGCTTATGTGTGCGAGGCACAATGTGCATATATCTATACACGCCCGTTATATACATATATAGATGGTTGTGGGTTGGTGAGCACTTTACGACCGGCGGCAGACATTTTTGTAATTATAGCACAAAATTGATTTGATTTTTGAGTTTAATAAGTATTGACAGGATTTTTAATGAAGTGGGCAGAAGAGTAGTAGAATATGTGTGGGTGTGTCCATGTGTGTTGCCACACCCACTCGTGTGTACGTGCCCAAGTAAGCGTTTACTTTCTAGTTGCATGTGTATGTTTGTGCACAAATCAGAACCAAAGTATGCAACATTAAAATGTAATTGAATAATTTTATGTAAAGCGCTTGTAAAAGTCATTGCCTTTACGAGTGTGTGGGCTTTTGTCCATGAAAGTCGGTTGCTTTTAGGTTGCCATTGTTGTCGGAACTGATGCAACCGAAAATATAAATTATTTACATTGCAAAAAGGATAAATTTCCTTAAAGCTGAACATAGAATACTATGGCCTATCTGATATTTTTAAAACCAGATATTTACTGAAAACTTAAGGTAGTATTGGAAGCAACTAAATCATCCTAGCATTTATATTCAGAAAAAGGAGTCGGCAGTTTTCGATACTTTAGTCATTTAATCGAATTTAAGTATTTTAAAATAATTTAATTTGTGTCTTGACCTGAACTTTAACTTCCTTGGCATTCACTTGCTACATGTGCGGCTTTATTGAGTGCTTTTGGTTATTTTATTCATAAATTATTTAATTTAATTTCGGAGTACGCAGTGGGTCCGGGTTGTTCTGGTCATGTTTTTGGCTAGAACGCCTCCAAGCCAACGTCCTGGGAGTTGGGCCTGGTCCTGGGACTATGGGATTGGTTAGTTGGCAGCCCGACATAAATTTGCAAATCGACAAATATGTCATGCTCAATACAATGCGGTGTGTGGGTGAGTGTGTTTGTGCGAGTGTGTAGCTGTGTAGGTGCATTGGTGTGTTTTTGATGGACAATGTTTGCTTATCGCTCCACAGGCTACGTCACTGACCCGAATGGGTTCGGGTCCATCCGCCACTTACGCTCCCTACTCCCAGCTTTCTTGGCCTGGTTCAGGGCACGTGACTGACGCCTTGGTTCCAGTCCCCCAGTCTCCCGTCCCATACCCACCGTATTTGGGCCAAAATCAGCCAGACCAGTGTGCCCAAACGTATGCAAGATAGCATCTGTTTTCGTCGTGTTACCGACTTACACATGTAAGTCACTCATATTTGAGGCTGCCTCTGTGTTCTCGTGTGCGTGTGTGACTAAGCGCCTACATTCATTACACATGTATGCGTATTAGGCGCAAATATTGAGGCTTTACTTAAACAGCATTAAGTCGAAATTAACATGTCTAAGCCGGGAACACAGTGGCCGAAGCAGAACGAGACTCTGACTGCAATACATACACATAAACAATTATGTTATATATTAAATTGAACCTCGTAGGTGTCTAACTTGGAAATTCATTTTTCAAATTTTTTTAACGCTCTTGTCGCCTAAATATTAGCATACATTTTGGGGCAGCAATGGCTCATCACTCATACGACCCGTATTCACCAATAAGTTCACTATTCATTTTCGTTTTATATTCCAAAAAAGTTAATTTTAATAAAATATTTTATGGCTATGTCTGAATAATTTTTGTTTACTTAAAAATTTATTGAATTTTTAAATAAATTGTAGCCAGTTTCAATATGTAATCTTCTATTTTTACCATAATGGAATGAATTGAATGTTTGGCATACTGTCTGCCTTAAAAACGCAATCTATCAAATACCAGGCTATATGTACACAAGAAATAAAGTAAAACTCGCAAAAAACCAAACTTTGTTTGCGCTTTACCCTAAAAATGAAAACATAAACAGAGTCCAAGAAATTTTTTAAAATAAAAGAACCAGCTTCAAGCTTTCTCCGCAACTCCAGCAAATAGACAAAAATAAACTTAATAAATAAATAAATAAAATGTCACGTGGCACAAAGACACGAACATAGGTACTTGCAGCCTGGAGCCAGGTCATATCATCTGGTCTGGCTGGTGTTTTTGGTTTTGTTCTAAAAATGTGCCAAAAATTTTGAGCTCACCTGGCCAAAACGGAGTGAAGTTAAGCTTCCCGATGTGACGAGCTTTCGCTCAAGCTAAGAGAAAGTGCCACGGAATGTTTCTCTTAAGTGGTGAATTTCAATTTAAGGACATGTTGATATTGCGACTTAAAGAGGTACTTTATATGCTCAAAGAGATCATTGTTAAGAGAAAGAGAATTTGAGTAACTCTATGAATGAGACAAACTGTTAAAGACCATTTTAAGCTCAAGAGTGTCCTTGAGTCCTTTCTCATCATTGTATGAGGAATATAAATGTGAGCTGCAGACCTCTGGTTAAATTTCACTCAAAAATAATGTTATTTTCATGCAATCTAATTTACTGATAAAGGATATAGCTGTGGGTATTGTGAAGTGACTATGTTTTCAACATCGGAGCTACCGCCAAAAGATCCTAGACTTGTATCTACTCTTTCCGTCGGAGCTTCTAGTGTGGACCTTCAAGGCACTGTGTCTACCACTTAAAGATAATATAAATCTATAAATAAATAAAATATGCATTTTAAAAATTTAAAAAAAAGTTGTGACAAAATGCTTTTGTTAGATCAAGGTTTAGATGACAAAATTTTTCTTAGATCGAGGTCTTTGAAATCTAGTTCTTTATTGATTTTTATTAACAAGAAGCCCACAGATTCACCAACTTTTAGATTAAAGCTGTATCTTGTAAATAAATAAAACTTACAAAATTGATGTGAGCACAGGTGTAATAACTTACAGACATTGGTTAAGTTATGTCACCGCAAATGGCAAAAATGTTTACTCACAAGCCCAACATATTTTAGCCACCTTTGGCCATTTATTGTTTGTCGACCAAAATTTGCGAAATGCCTCAAATTCTTGAAATATATGTGGTTAGCTGTGATGGCAGATATTCAGATCAATGGATACAGTAAAGTCGCAGAGACGCAGGCTTCTCCGCCAGCGGTTCCAGGTAAAAGTCATTAATAATTCATAAAAATAAATTTTACAATAAAATTCAATTGATTGTGTAAATATTTTCTTTTACCGCAAGGCCAAAAAATGGCAGCATTTCCCCCGGTAACAGAAAGCGAGAAAGTGGCCTCGTCCTGACGGGTTGTGATAAATGTCCTGATCCCAAGCCCGGTTCTCTGTTACTGCCACGGCCAGGTCCTTGTGTGTATGTATTTGATTTTACGCGTGTGCAACAGATAAATATGTAACGTCCTGTCTATAGTTAATATATATTCTTGTTTATCCCAGGAAGAAAAAAAAACACAACCTGTTCCCTTTTTTAAATTGCTTTTTTTTTTTTTGCCAAATAGAGTTTAAAATTGGTATATAAATCAAAAAGTGTCTATTAAATTTATATCCTTGATCTTATTGATTTAGGAGATAATAAATATAAAGGGAACTTTCGCTTCTCCCCGAAAATATTAAAATGAGAGTTGATGCTTCTCGAATTAAATAAAACAAAAAATTTTTATGGAATTTAAATAACAATTTAAATAAAACGCTTTCAGTTTAAGAGATAAGCTTTACAAGGTTTTTTGTATTTGTGTTTTCTAAAATATATATAACTTTTTCTAAAATATATATAAGTTGATAAGCCTCGTGACATCACTTTAGTCATTTGATTAAATCAAACTGTTTATTGAGCTCAACGGTTTTAATGGTCTATATAACAAAAAGGGTATATAAGCTTAACCTTCATAAAAATTTGGCATTCCTTTCCTGCTTATAATAGCTGTAAGTTAAAAGAAAAATCCAAAATAAGAAGATAAGAAGTTGACCTCTGAATATTTTTGCATTTATTTTTATTGCATATCAGTTTTTCCATTGAATAATTAACCGGGGTGGTTCGGGATCAGTAAATGAAAAATTACCTTACTATAGAAAAAAAACATATAGTTTCTGGAAGAGATAATGCATCGTGTTCCTAGACCTTGGGGTATATAAAAATATTCCCAACCTGCGCTACGGCAGTTTGATTTTTATTACAGAACACCTCAGATCGTTTCAGCTATGGGGAAAAGTAGTTGTTTTGCGATTTTTCTAATGGCATTGGCTATTTTTTCGGTGTGCAATGCAAACGAAGACATGGAAACTCTCAAAAAGGGAATTCAAAGTTTGACAAATACTATGGTGAAGTATCAAAGTGAATTTGATAGAAAAGTGCAATTTAAAGAGTTACAGGAGGCCATCGATGCAATTGACCGATCAATGTTGGGCTATATGGGAACCGCGAAGAACCGCTTAGATCGAGTGCGTAGCTTGAATACTCAAGCCCGTATCTCCTATTCGAACTGTGTCAAACCTGTGTTCGAGTGGTGCATCATGTCCAACATTACCTTAAATTTAGTCATACCCAATATAGGCTCTGAGGAACTGACGAAGCACGACAGAGATAGTATTTTCAACATAACACTCAACGCAATCGACATGGGACTAATTCACACCGAAAATTCACTGAATCTCTTAAATAATGTTATCCAACACACTTCCGACCTTAGAGATCTATTTAAGTCTATAATGCACGACGTGAGCGATGATTTTGGGGTGAATGGGTTCTACGGCAAAAAGAGATTGGAGTATATGGAGAAGGCCGAGTCGCAAAAGACGACCCAGCTCATCTCAAACATCTTCCTTTCAATCGGGGCCGTAATTTTTGCACCCATTGGCGTGTCACTTGGCTTGGCAGCAGCTATTGGGGCTGCCACTGGAACAACAGACCTTAATCTTTGGAAGGGAAAAACAACATATCAAGATCAAGTGGATCTCATTGATAAATTTTTCCAAGTTCTCCAGGACAACATTAATAATGCCACCAAAATAGTCGAAAATATAAATGGAGCCTTAGAGGAGGACAAAACAAACCTACATGCTCTTCGTGGAAAAATAAGTGCTGCCAATATTGTAAGTATTGATTTTAACTATTGATTATTGATTTATTTATTTATTTATTTTACTTCTTTAGAACAAATTTCTCTTGACTCTCGAATCACCCGCATTGCAAAGACAATTTGTTCCTTCTTTAACAAATGTGGTTGATCAGTGCATAAAATACATCACCTGGCACGGTTACAATTCATCCATTTACGAAAATGTACCTGGCGAAAGGCGGTCTTTGCTCTTTACCGCTCTACCTACGGAAAACCTCATTAGCAACCTGAACGATAGACCTCAAACTAGGACTGTGTCAGAATTGGAGCAAGTGCAGGAACCGAAACAAATTAAGAAGTTAAGAAGTAATTCCCCTCAATCCTCGACGATTCTATCAAACATACATACGATTGCTAGTTATTTTAAACACGTTTTATAATAGATATCAAAGATTTAAGATTTTAATCTCAATTTATTGTCAATCAAATTGTAAAGTAAAACGAATATCTCATAAAATCCTAAAGTCTTTTAACTAAATGGAAAATTAATTTTCTATAATAATTACTGTTAAGGTAATGATAAACTTTATCCTACATCTGCCGTGCCACTGATTGAATGGAAAAGCTACAACTTAAATGTTGTTAAGATAGTTTTGATCTATAGAGCTATTTCATAGCTTATTTTATTAGGATCGCTAAATTAAACCCAACAATCGGATATGTCAGCACTTTGGTATTATCGAAGAAAGATGGTTGGGGCTTTTTTCAAAATTTCCATTTTAAAAAGTTACTTTAAAAAAAAAAATATAAGTGTGCAAAAATATGGAATTTTTCCATTACATTTTGGATCCGGTCATTTAACAGTCCAGTGTATATCAACTTCGGTTTCGCCCGAAGACAGCTTTCCTTTTTTTGTTATACATATGTGTGTTTCAATTTTTTTTTATTGCATTGCTCTTTTTTCAGTGAATTATTAAATGGGATTATTCATGAAAAGATGAAAAAATAACACACACGTAGCTTTTGGAACAGATAACTCATCGTTATTCCATGCCTCATATAGTTCCAGGAAAATCGTATAGTATTGACTGCTAGTATTTTCAATTTGATTACAAAAATGTTCGGTAGTTCGATTTTCAATTCGGGTTAATACGGAACACCTAAGATCAGTTCAATTATGGTGAAAAGTTCCTACGTTGTGATTTTTCTAGTTGCATTGACAATGTTTTCGGTGTGCAATGCAAACGAAGACATCGACACTCTTGAAAAGGGGATTAAAAGCTTAACAAACACTATGGTGAATTATCAAAGTGAATTTGACAGAAAAGTGCAATTCAAAGAGTTACAGAAGGCCATAGATGCAATCGATGAGGCAATGCTGGGCTATATGGGAACCGCAAAGAGTCGATTGGATCAAGAGCGTAGCTTGAATTCCCTAGCCCGTAGCTCCTATTCGAAATGTGTTAAGCCTGTATTCGAATGGTGCACAGCCTCTTATGATTACTTGCATTCCTTCATACCCTTTATTGGATCGGAGAAGCTGACGAAGCACGATACAGATGCATGACATGATCTACCATGACACTCCGAATAATCAGTATGGGACTAGATCACACCGCAAGCTCGCTGAATCTCCTAAACGATGTTATTCAACACACCTCCGACCTTAGAGATCTATTTCAGATTTTGAGGTGGGAGGTAACTACGTCAGAAGGCTATTGGACTTGCTGGATAATAGGGCGGGGTGGCGTAAAAAGAAGGAACAAACAATTTAAACTGTCTTTATTGCACTCGGGGTTGTAATTTTTTCACCTGTTGGCGTGACACTTGGCTTGGCAGCAGCAGTTGGTACTGCAGATGGGACAACCGACAAATCAGATTTATCTATAACACCTGTATATCGGTGCTTTCTCCCTACCAATTAAGCATAAAAGAGCCTGAGAAAACGCACATAAAATCAGCTTATGTAGTCACTTACTAGCAATAGATTATTTTCTAGTTAATCCTACAATTGACAGCATAAAATCATTTGGGCAATTTAAATATTTGAATTTTCTTTTTATATTATATTAATTTAATAACACTTTAACACCAAACACTAAGCACGTCTGCGTTCCATGATTTATATATGTGGAAACTATCTGAAAATATTTTAATGTGCCTTCTCAACAAACGCTCTTTGATCTGGTCAGACATAATTCTTAGCTCTCCTAATCTTGCTGGATTGACCCCAACCAATGTTGTCAATATGTGTTTTTTCCTCGAATTCGGGAAGCTCCCATTCGGGAATTCGGGAATTCGGTAGTCCCAAGAAAAGTATTTGAGTTTTTTTTTTTCGCCTTGAAATATAGATAGGAAAGAGCAATTTAAAAATACCATTGACAAGAAAAGATAGCGAGCTTTGGTCGTAGCCAAAGTTTATATACAGTTGCAGTTAAGTGGCAGTTTATAATTCTATAATAAAAATTTGGAGAAAAAGTCCGAAGCTTAAAATTTTCAAAAACTTAAAAGTTAGTTCAGTTGTGTTGAACCTATAGGATATATGTTGAACCTATTAAAAGGAAAGAGGGTTGGGTGTCAAGTTGGAAGCTGATAGCTTCAAAACTGAAAGACTGGTTTGCGTAGAAACAGATAGACGGACATGCTAATATCGACTCAGGAGGTGATCCTGATCAAGAGTATATATACTTTATAGAGTTTGAGATAGCTGGAGATAGCGTTGCACACTTTTGACCAAAATTATAGTATCATCAGATAGGGTACATTAATGATATATATTCATATAGGTTTGTTGTTTTTTATGTACAAGTATGTATGTATTTATGAAATTTTATATTTTTCTCTTCACTTATAAATACTTTGGTATTTGGTACTCCAGCGATAACCTTAAGTCAACCTCAAGGTGATGATGATTAAAAAAATTTCATGTATACGTACATACATATGGGTAGATTCAAGTTTATAAAACGGCGAATTATGCCCGTGGTCAATCAATTTTGAAGAAGATTCTCGCGAATAAAAATCGTTTTCGACATGCGAAAAAATCGTGAGGTCGCGGTATTTGCAGTGGCATTGACAATTTTTTTGGGATGTCAAGGCGGATTAGCCCAAGATCAGTCGAGTCACGAAACAGAAATAAGTTGTTTTGCGCAGGCAGCTAAAAGCATATCTAATATCTTGGTAAAATATGAAAGTGAATTTGATACGAAGGTGAAGTTCGTGGAGTTGCAACAGGTCATCAAAGCAATTGACGAGGCAATGCTGGGTTATATGGGATCAGCCAAGGACAGGCTGGATGAAATTCGGAATTTAAGCTCAGATGCTCGTATTAAATATGCGTCGTGTGTGAAGCCTATGTTCGAGTGGTGTATCTCGAGTAATGGTACTATTAATTTTACCATTCCCCACATAAAGGCGTGGATCTTATCCGATACCGACAAGGAAATTTTATGGCAAATGATTTCAAATGTTATCGACACCGGTCTGAAAAAAGCCAAAACAGCCCTTGATCTGCTGGGTGAAGTGCAACACAAAACTGCTCAGCTGTCGAATGCTTTTAATGCCACTTTTCATAAAATTACCAATGATTTCGCACCGGGCGGCTTCTATGGCGAATTGAAGACTGATCTGCAGACCAAGATACAGGATATACAGAAACAAAGAAAAATTAGTTTGATCGCAACTATCTTTGGCGCAATCGGCTTAGTGCTATTTGGAGGTCTTGGTGTTGGACTTGGTTTGACAATTCATATTATTGAAAAATATAAAATAAGCTCTGTAGAGATGTGGAGTCAGGAGAAAGCATATGAAAAGCAATTGGAAATGATTAATTATACTTTTAAGATTTTAAATGAAGAAATTGAAAAAGCCAAAAGTATAGTTACGGATATCGATAAGGCCCTGTCAGAAGACAGAACTAACTTACATGAACTTCGTGCAAAAATTGAGGCTGCCAATCTTGTAAGTTATTACATCAATCAAAATCAAATATGCATAGTATTTCATAATTTATTAATTTTAAAAAAATGATAAGTCAATAAGATGTTTTCAATATTTTTGTTTTTTTTTACTTGTATCAAAAGTTACTTCACTCAATATATCGTATCTTTTTCAGGCAAAATATGCATTAAAATTTACTACTGATGACTTGCGAAATTCATTTGTTCCTGTACTAACGGATCTGTCAGCTCAGTGCACAAAATACGTCAACTGGCACGGATTTGATAAACCATTTTATCATACAAACATTAGCAGGAGGAGGCGAGAGGCAGAGCACACCTTGAAAGTCCAGAAGCTATTAGACGAGTCCGAATCTTTTGCCTCCCCATCTCAACCTTCAGATTCCTTCATCAGTTACGTGTATGATGGATCTCGTACTGCCGCTCCAGAGCCCGTTACCGTACAGGATTTTATTATGGAAATCGGGCATATTACTCGTTTTCCTATAGAAGCAATGAGTGGAATCTCTGGATCCCAGTCACCCCCATTGCTCAAAAGCCCGATTACGACTTATTTTAAACACGTTCTCTAAAGATTTCAACGGAATATGATCACATGTATAAAGCCGAATTTATATGTATATGTATAAAGACTATATGTATAAAGCCGAATAATATGAATAAAAATGAAAATAGTGAATCATATAGATTTTTTATAATAATAAAGTTTTGTAACTAGTTGGAAAACTCATATACTATATGGGAAATTTAGATTGGTGAATTTTTTTTACCTTTAGCGTTGTCAAAATTACCTTCCATCAGACCAATCAGGTATATAGTACTTCTAACACAGGTGTACGGGTGCTTTCTCCCTATTAATGGAAAACCCTGAGAAATAGCACATGACTTTTTTAGATACTTACTAGTAATAGATTCTTTTCTACTTTTCTAATTATTTGGGAAATTTTAATTATTTTTTTAATGAGCTTGTGTGCTGATTTTGTCTTTATATGTGATTTCCCCGAATTCGGGGTTCTTAATAGTTTCTCAATATTTGGGAAATGCTTGCGCCTTGAAATATTGTTTGCCGAAAATGCACTACACTTGCAGTTAAGTGGCATAGATACATATCGGCTCGGAAATATATAGCAAAATAATTTCAATATACAAATTGGGAAAAATGTCGAAGCTTCGGACTTATCTTCAAAAACTCAAAAGTTTGTTCATTTCCAAAAGTTTAGTTGTATGAAATTTATAGGATATAACCGATTGCGTGCAAAAGGTTGGCTCTCATGTTTGAACTATACAGCTTGAGAAGTGAAATCGTGGTTTGGTTCAAAAAAATTTGCTTATATCGACTCAGGAGGTGATCCTGATCAAGAATATACATATATAATTTATTTACTTATTATTTCCTAATGACCAAAAACCATTGCGTATAACCATTTAAATAAAAACAAGAAAGGAAAGCTAACTTCGGGCGGAGCCGAAGTTTATATACCCTTGCAGTTAAAACCGGATATATATCGCAAACATCGGATATAGTTGGCCGATCCCTATGATTACATCATAATAAAAC